ACTTTACCATATGACAAGAAATTGTAAATTAAATGTTTTTTGTTCAAATCCAAGCCAGTGGCTTCAATATAGGGGAAAGATAGGTACTTTAGGGATTACATTTTATTCTATTCAATAGGATTTGAGGAAATAAAAGATATATTATTTTTCAAACTTTATTATGGTAAATAACATACAATATCTTGATATTTAATTAGATTCCACTTTGTCATTGTCAGAATATTCTTCATTTTCGTTGTTTTCAGTGTCGGAATCTTGGACTTCTCTAGGAAGAAGTAATTCCACAACTTCTTTTAAAAGAGGCTTTGTAAGTTTGTGTTTCTTTTTTCCAATGCTGGACAACAGAGGTTCGGATGTTAACAATAACCTATTGATGATATCTTGGTTACAATCTTTTCTAGAAAATTTTCTAGCATAGCCAAGTCTGTACTCCTGGAAATGTTTGTTTCTGGCTTCGGCAGCCTCTTCCGACAATTGTTCAATTGGCAAAAGCGCATTCTCTACTATATCAGGACCATGTACTAAAACTTTATGCAGAGTTGGAGTCATTGGACACCAGGGGTATGGTTCAACTAGAAGTAATTTCCAGGATAATTTTCATTCTGGAAATTAAACTGAAGTCTACTCCAGTGATATCTGCAGATGTTTCCGGGTCGTTGAAGAATCTCCTGCTTGTGTTGCCATTATTGGTATTCCCAAATCCAACCTTAGGTATGTCAACAAGAATGCCCATTTTGCTCTTGAATTCATGTTGGATTTTCTTTTTCCTATCTGAGATGAGTCTCTTCTCATCTTCATTCAGCCTTTTCTGCCATTTTTTTACAGGCAATTTATATGATAGGTGAAGGAGACTTTCAAAACACCGTATTCTAGGATGCAGAATGGATAGTCCAAATTTGTAGCTGCTTTGATTGTCAACACATGTTCTGTCCAAATCATTAAATTGTCTTGATGTTGCTCCACAAAAATTACATCGCATGGTCGATTTAGTGATGGTTGTTGCGTTACAGACTTTTCCGTCAATCATAGTTAACATCATCACATGTTCTACTGCTATGTCTTGAAGTTGAGTTGGTTTCAAGCCTGCAATTTTGTTTTCCATGTAAGCAATTTCTTCAGTTATTACATCAGTAGTTTCTTTTATGAACCTAATTCGAATTGGCCTGCAAAACCTTGGAGACGATGGTGATCGTCTCCAAAACCTTGGAGACGATCTTCTAAATACAACACTAATCTTTCGGCAGTATGGTTTAACTTTGTAAGTCTACTTCAGCTAAACTTTCTGTGACTGTGAACGAATCAGGATCAGGATAGCATGTTTTTTTTTCTTTGACCAAAATACTGTAGCAGGGCCATTGCTTCTTGTCACTTGTACGTACGATTTCATATTGAGATTTTGTTAGGCCTGCGTCAGTAAATATTAAAAGAGCCTCTAACGGTGTCAATGATTTTTTTGTAGGTTCAAGACTGCTGCGATAGGCTTTTTTATACTTTCCCGCTCGTTTGGGAGATGTTTTAAGATCTTTGAGGACGGTTGCAGCACTTCTTTTGCCACTTGTTGTCAAACAAGTTTCAGCTGCAAAAACAATAGCTTCTGGTTCCACATCTTTCCTGAGCTGTTCTGTTTTTCTCCTCTTTGAACGTTCACTAGAATCGACAAAACTTTTTCTTGGTCGTCCGGCTGATGATGGAGTGGATGGGGTACCCGGTATTTGGAAACTCCCTTGCAGCCAAGGGCCATGCTTCTTAATAAATATTTCATGAGTTCTGGATGAAGACGACTACATTTTTTTAAAAATAGCTTTCAACCTCGACATTTGACGCTTGTATACTGTTTTTAGTTCTTCGGTATATTGATTTTTTGATAACAAATTTTGATCAGCGAAGTCCATTTTTTTATTGAAATTTGGAGCCTCCTGCTGCTGAATACTGTTGTAGAAATCCAAACGAGAGATTGTTTGCATTCCTGATGACCCATCTAGAAAAAAAAATTAAGTTGAAAAGTTCATCTTGGACCTTGATGTGCTTAGAACATGATTAAACTTTAGATGGCATTAACAGGCAGTTGAAATTAAGATTTTTAAATAGCTAGTGGTATAAACTCATAGAAAAACGAAAAAAACTAAAAGGGTTTCAATGCGCACTACAACTTTTTCAATTTTAAAGTCAAAATTTGCTTTAAAATTCGTTAAAAAAATGCTAAGTTTCATGGTACATAACTTTTGTGGTAATTAATATTTCAAAACGGTAGTAAGAGTAAATAATGTACATACCTGTCATAGATTCATCCATGATATAACACTGTAAAACTTCTGTTGTAAACACTTGTACACAGCTTCAATAAACACCACTAAAATCGCTCGTAAATAAAATGAACCACGCAGATATAGATCGGATATTTAACTAGACTGTGTAGTTCCAATTACTACTTTTATAACCAAACTATTAACTGCTCATTAAACGACCATTATCGAGAGATAATAAGGGTAGGTAATTAAGTGGGTACGGCCTATTTTAATAATTTCAATTTTGGCCAGCTAAAATCGTCAAATACTCCTACTTGCGCTGTTTGTGTGCTTGATTCAGATTCTGAAAATGAGGCGCATGTCTCGCTAGAAAAAAACGGAGACCTAACTTGTTTTTACTGTGCCGAAAAGAGATAGAATGGAATTTTTCAGAAGAAAATGTGTAGAACCAACTTTGTACAATTGAAACAGAATTTCGAGCTGCTTTAAAAGTTATTCCGGAAATTAGGTCAATTTTTAAGAATAACTTGTCCAACCTAAATGATTTTTTATATGTTAATTCATTCGATGTGACTGACCGTTTTCCAGAAATTATAAGGGTTGCCTGCAGAGCTGCTTTGTCTTCTCAACTAGGTGTGGAACGGCCGTTTTCGGTGTTGAAGCACATGACTCCAGACCATCGAAGTCGCTTTACATCTGGTTTAATGGATAATATGCTTTTTTTTGCGCATAAATGAGTCTTTTGTTTGAATACTATATTACATATAGTTTTATTTATATATATAGTTTATTTATATACGTATTTGATGTTATATATAATATATAATATTGACAGAAATAACTTGTTCAATTTATTCCAAGTTTTAGAAAAATTTTAAATGATTTAATGATTAAACTGTATTAATAAGTTAAAATAAAAAAGCTTCTTAACATTGTATGCTAATCTAAATTATATTAGTAGTAGTAAATACCGTTAACAAAAAAAAAATAGTTATTTTTTCAGCAAAGCAATAAAACCAATAATAAAAAGTAACTTTTTTACAGTATAATAGAAACTTTAAATAGTCTTTTTTAGCATGTTAGGGAATTTGTCAAAAAAAATTTCGTAGTCCGGAGTCCAAGTAGTCCGTCTTTTTTGACCCCGAAGTTAAAAAAAATCATTTATGTATATATACATAAATATTTTATCTAAAAAAATTGAAAAAACTAAGATAGAACTACCTGCATTTAAGTATACTTAAAAATAGATTGTTCTAGCAATCTCCCCAACGTATTGTTGTTAAAACAGTAGTATTGTATATTAAATTTATCCACAAACATTTCAATATAGGTTGACTCACGTTGTGATAACAGTATATGAAATGTATTAGCAATTTGTAATTTTGACTAAACAATTTTATTCAGTTAAAATTGCAAAGTTCATCAAAGCTAAAAATTTTTTTTTAAACAGTCAAACAGTTAATAAAAGATTGAGTTTAATGAATGATAAAAGCCCCATTTACCAAGTTTAGAATATTTCATTCAACCAATGATAAAAGCCCCATTTAACAAGTTTGACATATATCATTCAACCAATTAGCATTCTGCTTTCAACTTTCACCAGAATTGGTAAATTTAATTAATTTTTTCAACCATTATATTTTAATCAAATAACCATTATTTTTTCTTCAATGCTTAAACAACCTTAATAAAGTAGTAAAACTTTTGATAATATTTTCTTCTTTTTTAGAAAAAATGACAACAAAGTTGCATTTTTTTAAAAAGAACAAAAAATACAAGTAGATAGTTGCATTTCCCAAAAAAGATGTTAAGCATTGTAGAAAAAAAAGTGATTTTTGAAACACTTTTTTTCTATAATGCTTAACATCTGAATACAAGCTAAAGTGAAATACTTTAGTTTGTATTCTGCCGGAATATGTTTGCATTCTCCAGGATTAAAAATAATGTTTTTATTAAATTATTTTTTTAAGATGTCAAAACTTAGCAGTATTACATGTAATGGTTTAAAAGTTGTTTTTAGGTTATGTAATGCAAGTGTTTTTTTGCATATTACTCATGGGAACTTTAAAAACTTTAAATGTAATACTAACTAATAATACTAACTAAACCTGAGTATTATAAAATACAGTCAAGTGACATTCCTTACACAAAATTTTAAAATTTTGTGTAAGGAATGTCACTTGACTGAAATCCCTCGCAAAATGGAAATAATTGAGTTTATCAAAATATTAGTATTTTATTTTTTTTGTAAAAAAAGTTAATTTAAATTGCTTTACTAAAAATCAAAATACTGCATTTAAATAGTTGTAAAATAAAAGCTAAATAATTGTTTATATAATAAAAACTTGACAATTAATTAAATTATTGATGATTTATAGGAAATTATAACAAAATAAATTATTTATTTACATAACAAAGTTTAATACTAAATGTTATTGTTGAGAACGTTAACATATGAAATCATTTGATGTCAATATGTTATAAAATTTAAAAAGAAGCCGTAAGTGCTGCAGCAACTTTTGCTAAAAGAGCGGGAGGAAGCAATAGCACTTTCGATTGTTTGGTAGCAATGCCCAGCTCTGCATGTTTATGTCAATTATATGTTTTAACAGTTTTCGGTCACATGGCTACTAGATTCTCTACTAATGTTTGTATTCATATATTATGTAACAAAACAATGTATTATGCAAAGTATAACAAATTTTATATCTGAACATATTATAATAAAAACTACAACAAAAAATACAATATTAATAAAAAAAGTGACAGATATAACAATTTTTTCTCAATTATGTCTTAAATTTAACACCATTACTATATTTTGATAACAATTTCATATAAAAAGGTTGTTTTTAAAGGAGTTGCTCAAATTTTTCTAAAGGCGTTTCCATTACAATTGACAAAATCTGCATGAGTGTATAGTTGGTTGTTTACACAGAATTGCTTCATTTGATCAAAATATTGGTTTCCACATTTTGGCTGTGTAGCTGACCAAAGCACATTGTTAAAGCAATAGTGTGTGAAAATGTTGTACGTTGCCATGCTAAGCAAAGATATAATAAACTTGTATAAAAATAAATAATCAAATAAAGTTGTTACAAGAGCTAATAGAAATTCTAAGGAAAATCAAAATTATATTTCAAAATATATATGTGTATATATATTTTGAAATACTATGTGATATACTATGATATACTATGTGTATATATTAATTGTTAACATTTATTTTTTTTTAATAAATGTTATATATATATATATATATATATATATATATATATATATATATATATATATATATATATATATGTTACATATATCTTCTCCCAGTTACATAATTTATAACATTTATTGCCATATGACTGATATTTAGTTAAAGTTAACAATGATATATATAAAATGTTAAGATACTATATATTCGATGCAATAATAAACAGCAAGATTTTATGTTTTAGTAACTCTTTTTATGCCATTAAAAGTAACTGTTTCTATAACATTAAAAATTGTTGTGATTACCTAACGTTAAAGCGTGATTGTTTTGCCATCATTTTCGAAACAATAAATTAATACTTTTTTTTCAGTATTTTTTAAATGTAATTTCTTAAATATAAATTTCAAATGTAAAATAAAATCCAGCAAATAATATAATGGAAAATAAAAAAAATATTTCCAAAATTTTGTTTTATAGTATTATTTTTTAACTTCTTAACTGCAATTTTTTGAATGTAAAATCTTAATGTAAAATAAAATCTAGCAGGAATTAATGAGAAAAATATTTTTATTGAGTTATAATTATTGAGTTTTATAAATTTTAAGTTAAACTGTAAGTTATTATCGTCATTAGTTACGTTGTTTCTTATATTTCGAAGTGTCCTTGGAGTGAAATATTTCATGAAGAGATTTTTAGTGAATCTAAAACACACAAGTAGAAGTATACATTGTTTTTCAAAGTCTGCAAAAGCAAATACATCCAACCAACAAGACCTTAATTGTTATGCCTTAACGGGAGAAGTTTACATTTATCATCTGATGGAAATGCCAAAATGTTGGGCTTTATTTTAAATTCAACAAAATCTTTTAACATGAAATTTTTTGGTATGCTTATATACCGAGATGCTCATATTCCCGAGTCTATCCTATATTTAAATGAAATTATAAATTTAGTTGCAGTTCGGATTTTGTTGCAATTAAATTGAAAATTGAATTTGAAAACTTAAAAATTGAATTCGAAAGATTAAAAATTGAATTTGAGCATTTAAAAATTGAATTTAAAATTTGAAAATTGAAATTTTTTTATTCTAAATGCTTTATTTTAACATTTTTGAATGGTTATTTTGAGTGAATCATCACGCCTGATGACTTAAAAAAAAAGTTTTAAAAAACAACATTAGCTTATGCTTAATAACAAATTTTTAGAGTTTCATTAAAATATTTTAAATGAACAAATCAAATTAAAATTTAACTAACCCACAACATCGTATAAAAGGTTGCTTTGAAAATACTATGTTATTGCAGCACATCTCTGCGAAAGGATCAAACATGCGATTCCCACCTAAACAATAATAAAATTGTTAGATATTTAACTTAAACACACACACGGGGTACGAAGCCTAATGTAAAAAAGAGAAAAAGGAAACATTTTCATTTAAAGAATATAGTTAACATAAAAATAGAAAATGCACATACAATATCCATACAAAGAATTTGTGAATGGACTCCACCACCCAACATTATCATTGATATTAACGTTATTGTTATTATTGTTATTAATATTGTTGTTGTTGTTGTTGTTGTTGTTATTATTGTTGTTGTTGTTATTATTGTTGTTATTGTTTTGCCCGTTAATTAAACAGACAGTAGCAGCAAAAAATAAGATGAAAATAGTTTTGAATTTCAACATTTTCGTCTTATTATTTTATTTCTAATTTTCTTTTTAGATTTTATACTCTTCTCCATAGTTACGTATCAACTCAACTAGGTATTTTAATAAAATATTGTAATATATATCATTAAGCTGTAAAGTTTGGAGATGAATGCAATTTGTGTATTTGCGTAAATAAACATCTTTATTATTAACTCTAATTTAGTTTACTGAAGAAGTTTTCTAACACACCGTTAATAAAAAAAGAAATTATCTTTTATCATTTTAAAATTTGAGTGCGACTTTCTTTAAGAATCAACCAAAAACGCCAATTTTTTATAGTGACCCTCTTCAACTATGGTATAGTGACCCTCTTCAACTATTGGTCAACCAAAAACGCCAGTTTTTTATAGTGACCCTCTTCAACTATGGTTTTTATAGTGACCCTCTTCAACTATGGTATAGTGACCCTCTTCAACTATTGGTCAACCAAAAACGCCAATTTTTTATAGTGACCCTCTTCAACTATAGTTTTTATAGTGATCCTCTTCAACTATGGTATAGTGACCCTCTTCAACTATTGGTCAACCAAAAACGCCAGTTTTTTATAGTGACCCTCTTCGACTATGGTTTTTATAGTGACCCTCTTCAACTATGGTATAGTGACCCTCTTCAACTATTAGTCAACCAAAAACGCCAATTTTTTATAGTGACCCTCTTCGACTATGGTTTTTATAGTGACCCTCTTCAACTATGGTATAGTGACCCTCTTCAACTATTGGTCAACCAAAAACGCCAATTTTTTATAGTGACCCTCTTCGACTATGGTGATTTTAATATTACCTTTTTTTAATATGTTGTTGATATTCTTACTAAAAGCGCAATTCCATAATTTTTTCAAAAAATATTATTTGAATCTTAAGATATTAGAAACTTTTTGAAATACTGACAAAATGGATTGAATGCATTTTATAACCTGAAAAAAGACATACAAAACAAATACTTTACAATGAATATTGACAAGTTAAGACCAAAAATTAATTAAATTAGTAGTAATTAAAGTAGAATTTTTTTTTCCTTGTTTAAATATAATGCTTTAAAGTATACAAAAAATGATTTTTTGTCATTTTTGCTCATCATTTTCATTTAAAGCCGTCATTTTTAAAATCCCATAACTTTTGTTGCTGTTGTTATAAACCTTCATTGAGTAAAGTACCTAAAGGTATAAAAATACCTATGGGGAAGTAAAAGATTAGCGGCAAAATCCAACTCAAAAATGAAATTCTAATCTTTTGACGCATTTGATTGTGACATAATAGTAGTTAAAGCCATGGGTTTAAAAAAATATATAAGTGAATTGTAAGCATATTTCTATTAATAATCAGATTAAATAGTGTAGGGTATAGGGCATATTCGATAGTTATTTAAAAAAAAATGTTGTCTTAGAGTAATTTTCTTCTTATACAATTTTTCTACTTTTTTATTCGTTCATCAGTTTGTTAGCTTCTTCAAAATCGTTTGTCAGGGACGATGACACGGGTTTTAAAATGAAGGGGCACAATCATCAATTTTTAAAAAAAGTCCATTATATCTACAATTTTCCAAAAAAAAAAAGTTCTTTTAAAAAAAAGTTGGGGGTACGTGCCCCCTGCCCCCTGGCTCCCAGCCTGTTTGTTGCTAAGAAGTAATAACGATGGTGATTAATTAGGGCCGAAGAACTTATTTTACATAAGATGTTGTCATTGGAATATAATTTGTTATCTTTCTGATTAGGCCATCGAAAACAAATTTTTCCAAAAGAAACTTTTCATGCAGTGAGCTACAGTACCGACAGTTATCTGAAATTAGTTAAACACAAAATTCATGGATAAATAATGAAGCTTATCATTTCTATAATAAATAATCAATTAAGTTTTAAAATTGTTATCAATGTTATTAGCTTTTTACTTAGTTTTATGTTGAATAAGTTTTTAGTTTAACAATATACAGAAAATATTTATCACTGTAACAACTCCTGGATACCATTAGTTTTTGTAAACAATTGACATCCCATCATTCGTCAACCATATAAGGGAAATTTCGGTTGCAGGTTTATGTATTTTTTTTGATATTTCGTCTTCATCTTCAAGTTCTTTATTATTGTCTTCTTCATTAAGTAGTGCGATCAATTTTCTAATTCTTAAATATTTAATTTACCTATAGAACAAATTTTATTGGTTGGCTTGAAACAAACTCATCATCTGTTAGCTTGAAACAAACTCATCATCTGTTAAATATTTTATTATCACAGTGTTTACTTCTTCTGCTGACAACTTATTTCCTGTATTTTCTTCGTTTATAAAGTACTCATAATTAAGTCTTTTCAGCTTAATATAAAAACGAAAAGTTTTTCTTGGTGGTAATGCCCGATTTAAATTTCGGAATAATTTTTGAGAATGTATGTTATTTTATTATATATTAAAATAACATACACTCTCGCGGTTATAGAATTAGAATTATCTTTTAGAAATAGTTTCAAAAGATTCAATACAACCAGTCTCCTGGTAAAAATGTAGTATTCCTTAAGCACAATAGCTTTTCTTTCTTTTTTCCACTCAAGGTTTTTTGCTGAAAATTTCTTTTAGTATGAAACAAGCAATTCAGTTAATGGTTTAGCTGAAAATTTGTTTTACAGCACTTTAACTTCATCTCCATTTTCATAGTATCTCCACATGTATTTCATAGTGTCGTCATGTTTTCTTGGAACTAATATGAGCAGTAGTTGCTTAAATTAGGAATTTTAAAACCAGTGTATCAGATTCATTGATGTTGGCTAAAATTAATTATAGACTATTAAGTTTTCTGCACCAGTTAAAGTAACACTCTCAATTTTTGTTACAATAATCTATGTAACTTCATAGTATTATTTTAGCGGATGCATTTTCCTTATCGCATTGGTCTTTTCCACAACAAGTCTTATTAAAGTCGGACCATAGAAAATTAAAGTTTTTATTTTTGCAGAGCTTGTACTTTTGCAGAGCTTGTACTTTTGTACAGCTTGTACTTAGATTCAACTAAATAATTAGCATGATAACAGTTAGATTTCGATAGCTATAGAGATAACAGATGAAACACCTTTATCGCAGCTAATAGTTAAAAAATCTTATTGGGAAAATTTTTTTTTATTTTTGGTAAAAAAAAATAATCTATATGCATTCTTATGCTTTTCATCCCAAAATAGTATATTATATGCAAAATCACTAGTTGATTTGTTACATCACTGTTGCTATAAATTTATACAAGTTTTTCAATTTCATCTGGAAATTCTATTTCGGTATTTTTAAGTAATAAAAATTACTTGCCTAAAAATTGTGGTATTATATGAATCTCAGAGCAGCAATATTACATTATAGACAATATTATATTAGCATTAAAATAAGTTTTTAATATAATAATAATTGTATATATATATATATATATATATATATATATATATATATATATATATATATATATATATATATATATATATATATATATATGTATATATATATACAATTATTATTATATTAAACACTTTAATTAACAAATTAATTTATTATATTATAAATAATGTTTGATTTTTATATGATATTATACTAATAATTTGTAAAAATTTTAACAAAAATTTTTAGATGGCCAGTAATGAATACCTTGAAACATCAGAAAATTGTTTCACGTTTACTGTTTACATTCCACTTTTCACTGTTGACATTTGTCTCAATCAGATTAAGAGACAATAAAAAACTGTTGCAATATATTGTAAGACATTTCCGGCTTTAATATATAATTATATTATAAATAAATAATATATCTATTATATTCTTCTGATGCAAAATTCTTTAGATTTGTTACAGTGTTTGTTGAATAGTAAAAAAGACAATATTTCTGACAACCTTTTAAGCCAAATTTTGACATTTTGTGCGTCTTTCAAAAAATACATCATAAAAGCAGAAACAAGCAACAGTGTGAAGGATATCACACTGTTGTGAGGGATATCACTCTGTTGCCTGTTTCTACTCAATATCCAGTAATTTTTTTAAACTCTACCCGTCTCCGTGGTAACTGATGAAAGAAACATTTTGAAGCTTAAATTAGTAAAAACATATTTGTGATTTGGTATGACCTAAGAACGTTTAAGTATTATGAGCATTGAAAAAGAGCGCTTTTAAGAGCTTGATAGAAGTACACCAATTAGAAATTTTGCTGACCAAAACAATAAAAAATAAATATTTTGACTTTAAAAAACTTTTAACTGCATAGTTTTAGTTATTTAGACCCGTGCTTCAAGTTATTTCATTAACAGTGGTTTTTATTCGGCTGTGTGAAATACATAAGAAATTTCTTAAGATTGTCATTAAATAGCCACAGGGTGGTGACCTAAAAAAAAACCTGAGCCAGGGCTCTAACTTGCTACGTCGCTGATAGAACCTAAAATAGAAAATTTAGTAGCCAAATAGTGCATTTTAGGTTGCTCATAAATGTACTTTGAAAATCTCGTAGAGTATAAGTGATTAATTATATTCAAAGTGTACTAATTATTATAGGTGACAGTACAATGGCTGCATATTTACAAATAGTATTCTCAATCTTAAGTAAACACTTTAAAAAATATATTTAAATCTTTTATTGTTAATGTTTAATTTAACAATGCTACTGTTGCTAAGATATTTTTAAATCTTTATAACCTGTTAATATCTGGATAATCGGTTATAAGACCTAAAAATTTTATATTAGATACTTTGATGACTTCTGTAGTAATAGGCAAACCTTATGATATTTTTTAAATTAGTATAGTACCTTTTAAAGTCAGGTTATTTTATTCATGCATTTTAATAATAACACAATTCAGGTTATTTGTCAATTGTATTTAAAGTCTGATAATCTATGTTTTTTATTTTTAAGAATTCGAGGTCCCTTTTCAAAAAGTCAAATATTTTGATAAAGTTGGTATTTATCTCAAAAACCCTTGCTTGTCTCACAGTCAACTCTATGTTGCATGTTCAAGAATAAGATCATTTAATAACTTATATAAATTACAAATA